TTTGAAACTGTTTTTCTTTGTCACAGCTATTTTGAGAGAACGGCTGGGCGTAGAAACTCGGTAGAGGTGTCTAAAGAAAGGTCTTGGTCTGTAGATGAGCCATCAAAAGAGAAACATGGTGAATTCCCTTGGGGCTCTGCCCCAGAAGCCTTTACAGTTGCCTCTTCAGATTTGTTTACATTACGACCATATGCATAATTCTAAACTACTTTTTAATGCAACAGCTGTTAATATTTAAATTGTGATTTATTGAATTTGTCAAAATGGAAGTACAGTATTTGTAATGGATTTTTCTGATTTTAAAATTGATTTTCCTCTGCATCGTGTCATGTTTTGCAATATAATGTTCTATTACCAAATCAGTGGAAAATCCTAATATCACAGTAAATTTTAAAATGATTTCTTATGGAGTTAACTTATATCTATTGTATGGGTTGGTTTTTGCCTTTTTTACCACTTCTTGGAGATTTTACGTAGGTTATATTCTTTGGCATATTGCATTAATAGACGAAACTTGGGTTGGTGTAATTATTACAATGGAAAAGAGCGAGAAATCCTGGACAATTTGATATAGGCTAAAAATAAAACTGAATTAACACTGTGCTACATTTCTTGAGCAATCATTGAAATAACCAATTTGCAAACAATGGAAACATAGAACAAGTCATAGAACACAACCAAGTAGAAGAAATAGAAATAATGTTTTTTTTTACACTAAAAACACTAAAAAAAAACAAGATCAGCTTTTTGAAAAAAGATAAGATATTTACAAAAGATTTTGATTATATCTAACTGTTGTGTAGATCGTGAGTATTTCCATAATCTTTCAGTCGGATGTAATGCTTCGCAATTGCTCGAATTCGAGCAACAGGCACACTAGTTAACTTTAAATTGAAAGCATAACCTAAAAATTCTATGAGTTTGTAATGAATAAAATAATTATTCTTTGTGGTGTAACGAAAGTTCAAAACACGAGTGAAAGTGGGTCTATACATATTCTCGACCATTTAAAGTGCTCGATAAATCTCGCACTTCAAACATGGCCTCAAATATGTAATGACTCACTTTCTAGTTTTCTACTCTTGTTATGAAATATACTATTTCAGTGTGTGACACAAAAATAGAGTGTGGAAGCGAAAATAGAATTACCACAACACAAATAAGCTGTAGAGTCAAATAGAAGTACCTACAGTAATAAAACCCATAGTTACCAAGCACACAACAGAAGTTTACAGATTTACATAATTATTACATAACCCTTAACCTTGAATATTTCAATCTTGATAAAAAATAAACAAAAACAAACATTTTGAGACAGAGGTGTTAAAAATACAAATGTTCTAACAGATGGTATGTGATAAACATAATAATGGTAAAAATTGAATGCCCAAGAATAATATTGGAACTTTAACTGCTTGTATATGCAGGGTGCATTCCTACATTATCTCAACCAGAGTGTTTATAATTATTTACCTAACCCGCCATGTTAAACTTCCCTATCCCAAGCGTGATGTATACAACTTCCTTACTTCTCGAGTGATGTAAAGTTGGAAAAAACTCACTCGGTGATGTAATGAAACCCATTTAAATAACATTGAGTGGATAACTTAAAAAATATACCTCTATGGAGCCAAGACGTTCAACGCTAGAAATCAGCTGTGTGTTTGAATTTTATTGTTATGCTTTGAAGAATTTTCCTAACCTAGCTTTTGTTTGTAAATGAACGTTACTGTTGGAAGATGAGTGAAATTGATAATGAAGCATATTGCTCGTAACCTCCTGAATATTGTCGGGTCAGGTAAAATCTTGTACGTTACACGTTACGCAAGAGCGTGTTTACATCACTTCCATGAATTATGCAACTCACCTTCGCTCGTTGCACAACATTCACCTGCGTGATGTAAAAACGCTCTTACTACACTTGTAATGTAAATAGCTATTACATGTTCAATGTTGACAATAAGTTAAATCAAAGCACCTGTCACATGTCAATTGTTAATAATTTGTGTTCAATGAAGTTATCAACATCAATTACTGTATATCAATATACAGTATCACTTTATATAAAATATCATCTATCACTTGTATATCAATCAATTAAATGTTTAGATTTAATCATTTCAAATGTATCAATCTTTCAATCATCATCTAGGGCCACGACAATCCCTTTAGTAAAAAATTGTGAAAACTGTTCAACTTTCCTACTTTAGACTTTGACCTAAATAAGCAGTAGGCCTATACCAAAATTTCATCTTCTAGCTAGTCGGGATGTTACGCTCCTTTCAGTCTAAATTTTTTTTGCCATCCGGTTGAAAACAGCACGATTCTACGGTGTTTATATGTATCTTTAACATTATACAATTTCTAACTGTAGGATGAGATGAATATGTGTTTACATCACCACGACAAACACGGTGTCCCATTGACAGGTTAGATTGTACACGATAAAAAAAAATTGCATCTGCTGATCTATTTGCATTGGCTGGTGGGCTCTGGTTCAATTACAAACCGTACAGTGTGAAAGCTCGCAATTAACCAACCACATGCACCACTGACACACGGCCACGGCACGACAACCGTGCGGGTCAGTAGCAGTGGTCGGCTGCAAGATGGCATGGTTTTCTGCTGTCGACGTAACTGTTTAGTGTAAAAGCTCTGTTCTTCTTTATACTATGGTACTTGAAAGAATTCACCCGTGGTTTTTTTAAACGTACGCTGAAAACTGTATAGTGTGAAAGTAGCTTTCAAATCAGGTGTTTCTGGCCAATTAAGGTGAAAGAAGCAGATGAGCTTAGTCAATAACAAAGCTACAAGATTGTATCAATAGATTCCATATTAACTCAAAGTTGATATTCTGCTGTATGGTTGGTAAATAGATTAGATTACATATTTACAACAAAGGGTGTGAAAATGAGTGAAACTGTAGGATGAGTGTTGAATGAATTATGGCAGCTTTGCTACTGACCAAGATTACCTATACTAGTCCTTCATCCAGGATTCCAATGTCTTTCACACCTGGGTCCAGTTTGAGAGTAGTATACATAACTAAAAAATACTGATTTACTATGTAGATTGAGGGAAGTAAGACAATCTAGTAAAATAATTATGTAGTATATATTTATTCAACAAAAATATACATTGTCATAATAATATACAGCTGCGTATTTACAAAGTTATACTGATATTCATAATTAATGACAAACTGTACAAATATTAGAAAATACCCCTTCACAGCAAACCTGCATACTGAGCGAATGTCCAGTCCTAGTGGAGTTTTATTCGAGTTCTTTATGTTTATAGAAGGAAATTTACACTTCCGAGCACAGTATAAAAACATTGGATTAATGAGTAAGTGGTTTACTGTAACAAGGAACATTGAGTTATGAATTGCCATATTCGATGACAATGGACTGATAAACAAGCAATTCACAGCAATTAATTTATCCTTTATAAGGATAACATGGGAGAGAACATAGAATTAGGAGAGAACATAGAATTAAAACACAATATTTGTAAGTTGTATGTTTTCAACTTATATAAATGGAAGAATTGATTTTTTTCATGAATTTTCAATAATGTTAATTTACACGTTTATGATTCAAATTTCTTAAAAGTCAGATAATATTTGAGTTTATGTGCCAATACACATTTTTAAATGTATATCAGATTATTTCAGAAGTGTTTTTGGCTTCAGGGAACCGTGAAACCAAAAGGTACATCGGTCCCAGACCAAAGTATTACCATGACTATGGTAATAGCTACTTTCATACAGGAACCTGCTTACAATTCTTCTTAGCTCAACTTAAAAATATAATGTTAACACAAATAATAAAAAATAAACAAATTAAAAAATAATATCAAACATAACAACATAGTGAATTATGTAAACATTTATTTGGCATTACTAGGCCTATTATGAGACATTGACTCTTAGATGACAAACAAATAGTTTTCTTAACAAAGTAAACTATATTTTTGATGTTAACAATCATGTTCTGGGACATAAGGAAGTAAAATTAATTATGATTGTATTATCTTAAAATTAAAACTAGTAATAGAAGTAATGTTGAATGCAGTGCATCAAAGTGGACCGTGGTTTTTAAAAATAACCAACAACACTTAATTATTATTTTAAATGGGAGTTTTTCAACTAGAAAAACACCTTACATACGTGTTATTTATTATGCAACGAAGGTTTTATAGTAAAAGGCATCAGACTCCATTCTTAACTCATATTTGGGTTAAAGTACGCACATAGGTGGTGTACCCATCCAAATGATAATGGTAATAATGAAAGTAATGCTACTGCTGGTCAGACAACTCCTTATTAAGTAGTAGTTTGCAAGCAATAAGTTCAATGTGTTTCCAGTAGTGCCATTTGTTGTTGCCCATAAATCTTGATCATTTTCACTTGACATACTAATTATGTCCTGTATTTGTCTAATGTGATGACAAATAGTATATAATCTGTAATCAAAAAATTCCCCCTTCTGAATAGTTAATGATGAGTGAATCCAATAAATTATGTAATCTTCTTTCTATGTTAAGTCATAAATACTTATGTCAATTTTAGAATCACAAAACAAACATAAGCCTTCGACTGAACATTATCCTCCATGTGGCCCTAACTTTACCTGGTAAAATAAAAACATTTTCATTTCATTTCTTATCCTGGAGTCAATGAGTTACGCTAACTTATGACGAGGTAGTACTTATAAAACATGCTATACTACAAACAGTAAAAATTTACTATTTTGAATATTAAATTTACAAATGTATAAAGATGTTGGTTTTTGGTTTCTTAGTACAAATAATTATTAAATAGGAAAAAGTTAAGAAAAATAATCTGTAAAAAATATGATACCGTATAATTATTATGTCATATAACAAAATATGATTATAAATATAAAAATTAAAAATTGCAAACTATTATTAATTATGTAGATGATTATGTATATGTAATTATAATGTATGAACACTCAAGCGTAATAAATAAAATCTTTCATAAAATGTTTTAATCATTAAAATCTCAGCCGTCATTTGTGTAAAAGAGAAAACTCTGCACAAAAATATCCTGGCATTTCACATATTCCTAATTTTAGACATATAAATAGTTCTATAAATAATATATATAACAAATGAAATTAAAGTTTGTCCTTTTCCGTGTTAAAACAAAAATATAACTATAATAATCATTATAAAACAATGATCACATTGATAAGGTGATTTTCTATACATGTGTTCAATATGAGAAAGACACTTCACTTTGAAGTCCTAAAATAGACAAGAACCACTTGCTACCCTGTGGCTAAATCGCATCACTTGATTGTGTAAAACTAATAAATACAAACACCCAAACACTGTACACTCGGTTCTGAACCTTTACAATATTTTTACAGAGAAAACGATTCAAATAAATATACAATGATCACATAATCCTTCAACAGTCCTGATGTGACAAAAATCAGTAAAAATGTCATTAATTCGTAGAGAAATTAAAAAATGGATAACCGTAGTCAACTACGTGTTGGCCGTTGGAGCTGGTGGTCGTCTTTCGTAATCTCTGCTTCGGTAATCTTGGTTACGATCCTTGCTACCATCTCTCCTCCAGTCACCCGCAAAGTTGGATGGGGAGGGACCCGGGTATCTCTCCCCTCGGTTGTAACCACCACCGTTGTTGTCATAGCTCGACCCATACGGGTTACCATATCCGGCATTCATTGTCGGGTGGAATCTGAAATAAAATTGAATCAATCACTCAAATAAAGAGACACTAAACAGTGGTACAAGGTGTTAGAATATTTATACAATTTCAAGTCCCCCAAGTCTATTATTTTAAGTTTCTCCGTCAATTTTTGTATGTCCTTTTATGTCTTATAAAATATATTTATCTAAGCATGATATGTCCCTAACCAAAAAAAGCAAAAAAATCTGTGTCCACCTCTTCTATACTAATGTTAAAAGAAGCAAAACAGGTGTTGTATACAATTCCTATTAACTCAATAATGTCATCAACTTCCACCCAACCTAGACATAGTTTAAGGTGAGCCTCTCCCACCAGCTAAGCCACACATTATTAACCTCTTGGAGTCCACGCTCGCATATATGCGAGCAGACGACTGTCGCGCCAGCGGTCCACGCCCGCACATATGCGAGCTGACGTCAACTTGTTATTTTCGTGCTCTTTTTTGCTGTCAGCTGTTACACTAATACGTTGTGTTTAGTATTCATCTGTTCAGGGGAATCCAGGGAATCATGGGATATTTTGTTTTGTTCTATTAGTCTTGCATCACTGCTAGTTCTGAATCGTTTTCGTTCCGCTCCCAGCTGTCACTAGTGTTACTCAATAATACGTACGCGAGTTGTTTGTTTTTGTTTGTGTTTTGGTAAACATTGTGTAATGGATTCGCGATCTAACAAACTTCGGGACAACGAAATATCAGAATATTTGTCTCGAGATGATTTTAGTGATTTATCGGACGGTGAAAGTGACAGTGAAGAGGGGTTTATTTATTCTCATCAACGATCTACGGCGACAAGTGTTCCTGGACCTGCAGGAGATGCATCGAGTTCAACTAACCTCTACGACGATTCCATTCCTGGCCCGAGTTGTTTTGACCCAAATGATGTAAGTAACAATGATTATGATTTAGGCCTACCTGAGGACAACTACATGCTTAGTACCATAGAGAATATTTTTGAAGAAAATAGTGTTAGGCCTATTTCTGAGAATGAAAATGATGCAAACTTAGGGTTAGTTGTTGATGAAGAAGACCTTGTATATATGGATGTAGATGAAAATGAGAGTGAAACAACAATGCCAGGACTAGTTGCTGACCAAGAAAATTATGAGGCTGAAGATGATGCAATGATAGGCTTAGACTCACTTACTGCTGAGGAACATAGGCATAACACTACAGATAGGCCTGTGACTAATATTAGAGTTAGGCCTAGGCGTAATAATAAACGAACAGGTAGACCTGCTAGGCCTGTGCTTGCAGCTAAAAAAAAGAGAAATAAAGGGAATAAGAAGCCAGAAATAACATTCCCGTGGAAGTCAAACCAGACATTCTCTCCCACATTGTTTGAATTTGACAACACAACATCCGGAATCGATAATGACATACCTAAAGGATCGTCGTATTTAGAAATGTTTTTACAGCTTTTTACCATGGAACTGATAACTCATATTGTATCAGAAACGAATTCTTATTTTACAGATGTAATTACCAAACTCCCAAATTATGCTTCTGTTGACGAGCTAAGTACATGGAAACCGGTTGACGAGGATGAGATTCTCTGCTTCCTCGCCTTGTGTATTCTAATGTCTCAGGTCCGAAAAAATAAAATAAATGATTATTGGTCTACAGATTCACTACTGGAAACAAAGATCTTTGGGCAGGTTATGAGTAGGAATCGTTTCAAAAATATATTGAAAACCCTTCATTTCAACCAATTTTTTGTGCCCAATCCTAAATCAATTGGCAGGATTCACAAAATTCGACCAATTTTATGTACGTTGAACAAAATGTTTGCATCTAATATCAAGCCCTTTGAAAAACTGGCGATAGATGAGACGCTATTTCTCTATAAGGGTAAGTTAGCCTTTAGACAGTACATTCCTTCAAAGCGAGCACGATTTGGAATCAAAATGTTTGTGATCTCAGACTGTCTAACAGGCTATGTTTTGAACATCCTTCCCTATTTAGGATCAGAAACGGAACTTGAGTTTGCAGAATTAAAAGAAAAAGTAGGCATGACGGGGCAAGTGGTGCTAACACTAACAGAACCCTACTTCGATAAGGGGCATAAATTGTTTTTGGATAATTGGTACGTTTCACCGTCACTAGCTCAGGAACTGATGAAGCGCAACACAAACATGTGTGGAACAGTCAATCCCAATCGACAGGGTTTACCAAAAAAACTAGCCCCCTTAGATGTAGGTAAAACAGATGTACATTGTACAGAAAATATGATGTACCTACGTTGGCAAGACAAAAGAGAGGTTAGGATGCTAAGTACGATGCATACCAGCGACATGATTGGCATAGGGAAAAACAACTGGGAAACTGGGGAGGAAATCAAAAAGCCCTTGTCAGTGGTGGACTACAACAAAAACATGGGGGCTATCGATATTGGTGATATGCAACTGTCCTTCAACTGTTCTGCAAGAAAAAGTATCAAGTGGTACAAGAAACTTTTTTTCCACTTCTTGGACGTAACAATCAGAAATTCATATATTCTGCACAATGAAGTCCAAAAAAGAAACAAGAATTTGCAGCTATCAGATTATCGCAGGGAGCTCGTCAGGCAGATTTTAGAACATCACTGTGTGATGAGAACCAATATTCAAGGTGGGCGACCATCAAAAGGCGAGATTCCGCTCCGTCTCACCCAACGACATTTCCTCACACCAATCCCACCAACTGATAAAAAGTTGAAACCTCGTCGCTACTGCCATGTTTGTTCAAACACTAAGCTTAGGCCCCAGAAAAGGAAGGACACACCGTACATGTGTACTGAATGCGGCGTTCCTCTTTGTGTGTACCCTTGCATGAAGGACTACCACACACTCCAACAATTTTAGAAAGTAAGTTGAATGTCTCTTTCTTGGGTTTTATTTATTTTACATATGATTTTGTAGTAGGCTTGGTACAAATTAGGCTTCAGCCTAACATAATTTTATATCAAAGCTGCTGTTCCCACCTTGACATTGCAAACATATAGCCTACTATATATATATATATATATATATATATATATATATATATTATATATATATGTGTGTTTATGTGCTTTACACGATTTATAAGTTAAATTATAACATTAGATTACAAAATGTAACTTTCTACCTGCTTTTATAAATTTTCAAAATTATTTTTCTAAATTACAATAAATGGCGTGCAAAGTCACATTTTTGCGATTTACGCTTTTTCGTTTTTTTGAACATAGCTCGTGTAAAATATAGTATTCTTTAGTTGTTGTATATATTTCTATGTAAGGAATTAAATTGTCTAACAGATGTATATAATAGATTTTTAATATCAAATAATTTGTACTTTTACAGAACCATTACTTTTGAAATTTATGTTCGATTTTTTTGTTTTTTTTTTGTTTTTTAAAAAAAAGGTTGTTACTTTAAGTAGGTTGACTTACAGAATCTACGGGGTTGTTTGAGAGTTGCAGTAGAGTGGGGTATTTGATAGACAGGGTCCTGTTGGCCCAAGTCCTTTGGTTTTAAGTGTAGTAAAGGTAGTGAGGTTTTCATTTGTTCTAAGCTATTAACATGCTTGCTTCACACCATTGTATACACCTAACATGACTCACCTGCCCTTATCATGGGGTCGGCCTCTGTTCCTATCCCTGTCCCTGTTGTAGCTACCCCCGGCTCCTGCGGGTCCCTGCATCCGTGGGTAAGGTTCAAATCTCTCTCTGTCTCTCTTGTCATACCTGTGCAACAAAACAATAAGTGGTCTGAGACTAAAGAAATAGCTGGTCTTAGATCTTCCTTTCGAGTTTACCAACCTAGTGTGTTGATGTCAAAATACTGGTATTTACGTATTAACTTTTTAGCTCCGAAGACCATTTAATCAGACACAATTTTACCAGATTCAAACATTTTTTTAAAACTATCCATCTGAACCAAACTCGAAAAATGCAGGTGTCGGCAGGCTAAGCATTTTTACTTCAGGTCAGGTCAAACATTTTTGCTTTCAAGTTTTTTTTTATTTATTTTTTAAAAATTACTAATTGAAACGATACATTCAGTTTTTACATAATATCAACCAAAAAATTGCGTAATACAGTAACCGGACTACACTCGGCAGAAATGGCATATCTTTAACCGGACAATTTTTATCAGCACATCGGTTTAACCGGAGTAGATCGGCAGGAAGTGGGCGGTACTGAAAAAACTATTCTCGTGAGGAAAGATTTGAGACCAGTAATCACGTGTCTAAATACAATGCTCACCTAAATTTAAGTCAAATACTGTATACAGTATGCATTTAAACGGTCCGTTTTAACGAGTTTTTAGGGACGTCGGTTTAACCAGAAAAGCAGTTATCCGGACTGGCCTCGGTCCCGAGGAGTACAAGAGAGAGTCTACTGTAGTTGTTTTTGTTTTAACCGTTTACATCATGTGATTTTCAAGATCACCCCCCCCCCCCCCCCCCCATATATCGTGGTGAAATGATGAACATCTTCTGCGGTATCGGAAAAATCTTGAACGTCTTTCGCGGTCACGGTACCATCGTCTCCCACAATCAGTGACAAAATCATCGCAAACATAAAAGCTTGGCTTGGCTGAACCTAACATGAGTTTGGCCCAAAAATGATTTCTAACCCGAACCAATCAATCTGGCCAAATGTTGGCCCAACCTGAAAATATTAGGGTCTCGCAGACCCCTAAAAATTGAGAAAGCTAAACATGACATGTGCTGCTAATTAGGAGTAAAGTTTGGAACAACTATGCTAAGGTTTTTGTTATGCCAGTGTTGTTAATGTATCATACAGTTATCGTATAGTTAATTTTATGATAGTGTTGTTAATTACTGATACATTTAGGTAACCACATGAGCCCATTGTATACAATGACCAAGCGGTATAAAAGCACTGAGCTTCTTTATAATGAGTGAATTTAAGGGCAATATTTATGCTAACAAGTTAATTTTTTATTATAATTTGTAGATCAGCATTGTTGTTGTTATCAAGGTTAATTCAACATTATGTGTTAGGGTTTTTTCAAGGGGATTTTAAAAGTGCACTTTTAATTGATGTTGTTGTGTTAACAACATTTTGCCTGAACCAAACCACCTGATGGATTTTTGTTGATGGTCCTGTAAACGAGGTTCTTCTGTATTCCTACACTTAAGTATTGTAACTCACCGGCTGTTCCATCTATCTCCAGCTCCATCGGGTCGAGTGTGAGGACTGTTGACTCCAGCTCCACTACCTCTGTTGTCCCCGCCAGATCTGAAGCTCCCTGTCCCCCGTTGCATGCTGGGAGGTGTTCCTCCGCTATCCACCTTTGCCCGCTTACCCTCCTTCTCTTTCTCCCCTGACTTACGATCTTCTTTTTCTGAATTCCTGCAAGGAAAAACATATTTATTATTCCGCATATAAATGTTTTTTGTTTTTTTTATTACGATACAGCCACTATTCAGTAAATTGACAGGAAAGCAGGCTTACCTTTAAATAAGTCCATAGACACATAAAATATACAACACAAAAGTAAAAATTGTTGTGGTAACCACTCAAAAAAAGAGAAAAAAATTCAGGCAATATTCATATTATATATTCATTAATATTCATTTGCAGGATCCACACTCAAACTTGAAAATGAAAGTCACGGTTTTATACAGTCATACATGCTTATTTTCATAGTTGACAAAACACACAGCTCATTCAAGGTACAGTAACAACGTTCACACCAGGTTCCTGGTTCCCGTTTCAGGTTTCTGGTTTGTGTATGTTTTCAAGGTTAAAGTGCATAAGGTGGGTACCCTTAAATTATACATTTTATTGAAAATAATTACTCTATTTATAACACAGCACGCCCAAAAAATTAAGTCAATATCGTTTGTAATAGAATTAGTTAAACAAACCCTTCATAACAATCCAAAAGTTTAGTTGGTTTTGTTTAAGGAAAGGCTCTAGGCCAGGATTTTAAATTGTAGAAAAAGGAGGATAGCAGCTAGCTTACCTTGAAAGTGTGGGTAGGCCATAGAACAAGTAGAAAAACACAATGCACACAATATTTCGTCCCCTAAGGGACTTTATCAAGTGTAGAGAAAGAGTTACAAAATGGTCCTGTCTGTGGGGACGAAATATTGTGTGCATTGTGTTTTTCTACTTGTTCTATGGCCTACCCACACTTTCAATGTAAGCTAGCTGCTATCCTCCTTTTTCTACAATTCAAAAGTTTAGTTGACTTTGACTGCCTTGTGACACATGAAGAGATTTAAACTGTACCTGACCTTTTGACCAGTTGTGCACGATTTTCTTATCATATACATTCTGCATGTAACTCAAACCACTTTTTTGTCCTTTATAAAAATTGCCACTACTAACCTTGGAATGGATGGAAGAGAAGACTTTTTACTGGATGAATTTTCATTGTTCGACTTTCCATCTTCTGATTTCTTTTTATGATGTTTCTCCGTGTCTTTTTCTGACGACTTCTAAAAGAAAATACAAACAAATCAGTCAACGAAGAAAGACAGGGTGTCCACTAGGCCAGAAAAAATTCATGAGTAATTCCAGATAGTTCAGGTCGTGCTTTTCATACCAAACTTTCCAACGCGTTTTTGTGCCAACTCCCGCAATGCTGTTTTAGCGCCAACACAGTTATTTTAGTTATCGAAAAAAGCATTCTCTGTTAAAGGAATCCAATTTATGATTACTTTAATATTGCCTGACACAAGTATGCAATTTTTAAATATTACTTTGATTCAATAATCAGAAAATTAAAAACTAGATCTTATACCTTCAATTTATCAATAGCTTATAAAAAAAATAGTGATATGTCGATACCAAAATTTATCAAATCTCTGTAACGATACCATAAAATTTATTCTCAAAATCGATAATTTTAATTTTACCAAATTTTCTGTAAAGCCGCATCTACACGGAGGCCGGTAGAGCATGCAGGTTACTTGACTCTGATGTATTTCAAGTTACCAGAGGCACATAACTTACTCATCTACTAGCCTCGATGACATTGACGTTTCCGTGACCGTGACATTTTGTGGTTTGAAAATGTACAACAATGTAAATTCAGAAATAGTTTCATGGAATGATTCATTAATTACTTGAAATTCCACTCACCTTTTCATCTGAATCTTTCTCCGGTTTCACCTTCTTGATTGCATGCTTGTATAACTTGTACAGCTTTTTGGCATCGTACTCTGTGAACTTCGATACAAAGTCCCACAAGTGGCTGTAAAAGTTGAAAATAAAACATTATAAAGTTGTTTTTTTTTTTTTTTTTTAAGGTTGACGGCCTCTTTTAACCTTGCATTTGCCTGTCCACATAGACTAACTGCCCATGCGTGGAACGTATCCAGCAAAGCAAGGGGTGAGCTGGTACAGTACTAAGGTGAACTATACTGATAAAATGTTTGCGGCAGTGACCAGGATCCGAACCCACGACATCGCTGCCTTGGGCCCGAAGTCTGTGACGCTACCGACTGAGCCGCCGACTCACCAACATGTTGTTAGATCTCAGGAAAGAACGACATAGCTGCTAAACAAACTAGCTAACAGGAGAAAGAATTTTTTTAGAAGACGGCAGATAAAGTTTTTCTTTCTTTGTACCCAAAAATTAAAATGGACTCCATAAGATCCAAAAATGGATACATCCAGCACAATTTTTTTATAAGGTACTTAACAAAATTGATTAACTAAATAAGTTGAAAATAGTTATTTTAACAATGTTATGCATTCAAGAAATGGCAATTTAACACAGAAGCCGAATTCCTGAAAAAAACAGCACCAGTGGATCTTCCCCTCAACCCTACAATGTTGTAAATAGTTTTAAGTTAACCATCAAAAATTTGTTGACGCATTACTATTCTCTATGAATTATGTAAATAAAGAAATATTGTCTATTGTCTATTGTCTATTTTACTATGCATTCCCATCTTATGTTTAGGTTGTAGCCAAAACATTTTAAACTAAAATGGACAAAGTTGAATGAGCCACCGACATTTAACGCTGATGTAAAATGTCGATTCCTCTAACATACACCAATTTTTCCACCAAATCAAACACTGGGAGGACCCCTAGTATCCAGAAGCAAAAGAGACTTACCTTCTCCACTCCTTGATCTGGTCGGGGTCCTTGTACTGTGTTAGACACTTGTTGATCTGATCACCTATCATGACCAGATGTTTTCTCGTCGTCTGCAGCTGCTCTTGCTCACTCAGTGTCTGGTCAGGGTTGTCCAGAGCCTTCAGTGCCTTTTTGACTGGCCTCATCATCTCCTTACACTGTCACAATAACAAGACTATCAATACTAATGTTGTTTGTAAACATTTCTAGTTAGCCCACATATGTCTGGGCCAAGTACTTCAAGTACTCACATTCACATATTATGTGTAATTTTACCCAAGGTCTACCAGAGGTCTCTGGTGTAATTTTAAGCGAGATCGATTCTGGACCCAGATGCTATTCGAGTTAGTGATACTGGACCTAGATACTATTGAAATTATGATACTCAACCCAGATGCTATCTGAATTAGCGATACTGGATCCAGATGCTATGTGAATTTATGATTCTGAACCCAGATGCTATTTCAATTAATTATTCTGGACCCAGATGCTATTTGAATTAATGATTCTGAACCCAGATGCTATTTCAATTAATTATTCTGAACCCAGATGCTATTTCAATTAATTATTCTGGACCCAGATGCTATTTGAATTAATGATTCTGAACCCAGATGCTATATCAATTAATTATTCTGGACCCAGATGCTATTTGAATTAATGATTCTACAGCCAGATGCTATTTGACTTAATGATACTGGACCCAGGTGCTATTTGAATAAATTATATAATATCTAATAGTCTAGGTTGACAACAACAAGACTCTGGTTTTGTCCTTGGCCGGCCTCACGCGCATGTACATGATTTGTAAATATAAATGTTTTTGTGTGTGTTTATGTGTATGTGTGAAGTAATTTTGACGACGGCTTATGAAAGAAAATATGTTTGACTTTTGAAGACTGAAGAGATTTGAAAATGGGGTTTTAACCCCGAAACTAGTCATCCAAGACAATAGAGGATTGATTGACGACAGGTTAGTAACCTCATTTTATGTCAATAGATCAATCCTGGAGGCAAATTATGTATAAAAATGGAAATCTATTTATTTTCAGACGAAATTCGGTAAAGATTATTGAAAACGACTTGGTCAAGTTTCATTACAGCACTAATAAACTTTTGAGCAACACAATTTTTTAGAACCAACTTTAAAAAAGTAGTTGTTAACCATTCTGAAAACTACTTAAAATAACTCCATCGAAAATCCATTCAAACATTAAATTACCTTATTAAATATTTGTGGCTCCAAGTCGCCCAAGACGTCTAATGCTCTTGGCTCGCTGTTTGCAGTGAAATGCATCGGTCCAGTGTTGTCTTTCTTCTTTTTCTTCTTGGGACCTGTGTCTTTTTTCTTCTTCTCTTTATGTTTCTCCACCTCCGGTTCTTCGGTTTTCGCTTTAGGAGGAGTGACTCTATTCTCCTTGGGCTGGTCCGGAGTGACTGTGCTGCTTGGGGTTGGCGCAGACGGTTTGTCTTCAGCTCCTGAACTGTCATCATCAATGATTTCCTTGGAGACAGGCTTCTTGTTGACTGTGTCCACCTTAACACTTCCTCTGGGTCTTCTCTTCACCTGAAACATACAATTTGTAAATAAGGACGAAATGGATGAACATGCAAGTATACATAGTTTTTGGAGTTACTAGCTCCTTCTCCTGTAATAGAGTCTTTGTCTTTGTTGTTTGTATTGTCACACACAATGCTATCATACAGTTTTGAGATTTGTGACTTAAGTGACCACAAAGTACTGACTTAGTGATTAGGCAGAAATATTTTTCTCCTTCCTTGACTGGAACAACCAACAAGAACAACTCTACTACAGTACTAAGAAGGAGCTTGCAGCTCCAAAAATTCTACGAGTTTATTTGTACATTTCATTAATTTTGGGCAGTAAACTAAGCCTGCTATTTAACCTATCCATCACTCAATCCTTAAAAATCCTGGTCTAAAGGGATCCTTTACAAAATTTGTAAACATTTTGTTAAGTTTTTGAACAGCTACAGTAAAAGCAATTGCAATTAACTATCCAATTGAGTTTAATGGTTTTTGTATCCATGTTGTTTACTGGCACTTTAGTATGAATGACTTAAGTTCCACTGTTATAAAACTTTAAAGGAAAATTTTGGTTTGTAAAAGAGCCAACGAGATTTGTCTACTCACTGGAGGTTTCTTGGTGTCGGAGCCGAGGCCGCTGCGTTTGCGCAGTATCTTGAGCAGGTATTGCGCGCGCATGTCCAGGTGTTTGGCCTGAGGTTTCTTGTCGTCATTGGCCAGTATCTTGTCGCTGATGCCGAGTGAAGGGTCCATCTTGATAGCCTCCCAGCTACCTAGCCCATACTGATAAACTCCCCTCAGTAATGCACTGTCTTCTGCTTCGCCCCACTCTACGTCGTAGTTAGCTGACTTGGTCCTGTCAAAAGAGGAATAACTTTGACTATGGTACTATACATTCAAATCTCATGAAATATGTATCCAGTTTTGAAATAAAAATTTAACAATTTTTTTTCATATGTTTACGTTAGTTACTTAACCTATTTTTCCTACACATTTGTATTGGTTTTAGGCCGAATATGTGAGGCTCTACTAGGAGATTGTGATTTTTACATTTCAGACATAACAAAGTGCAAGAGGTATGATCAGTATTTTACTCACGAGTGTCCCAGCGTCCACTTGGCCCTCTCCTCTGCATCGGCAGGTAAAGCCAGGTCTAGGGGTTCCAGTTCCTTCTCTATACTCAGCAGAGTCTTGGGATTGACTGAGACTCCACCAAACTTGATGCTGGGTCCTCTACCTCGCCTCCTGCCTGTGTTGACAGCTGCAACACAACACAAATAATCACCCACACTGAGGCTACCTTTACTTTCAAAATGTATTGTACAAAAAAATACACATACATTTTTGCCTACTCCCCTGATACTCCCAGAACCTAAATACAAGGGAAAATGTCGTATGAGATAAATATGTATAAATATTAAATATGACAGTCCCTGGCCCAATAAGTATTTTCCAGGCTTTTACTGGTCTTAAATATCTTTCCCCAACCCTAAAAGAGCGCTTCTAAATTTTCCTCGTCCTAAAAGTACTTTTCAGGCCTCGACTAGCCATAAATATGCTTCCCTCATTGTACCTAAACGAGCTTGGCCTACAATGTGCATTCCAATTTTTCTTTCAGTAAAAACTTGAGCTTCCCTGGCTTCATCTTAGTCAAAATGAGTATCCTTTGACTACATTCTCAGACCCAGCAGAGCTTATTAAACATTCTCTGGCACAACTTTTATGTGATTCTGTAATTTATTTAAGTAAAACATATGCATACCACTTTTTAAGTGATCAGTTTTAAGTTATCAAAATGTCCACGCCCTGCCTTAGTATAAGAAATACTTTCCAGTACTCTTCCTTTTCTACCATTCTTTAAGAGCCTTTTAGAAAATCAAACAAGTATCCTAGAAAAGCACGTACCAGACAAGTTGCTGTCTTCGTTCTCGTTCTCCTTCTGCGCCTGTTGTTCCCCAACAGCCGCCAGACATCGTTCCTTCAGCAGGTCGCCGAGCCGACGCAGCTCAGCTAGTGGCTTCTCCTGCAGCTCCGCGTCACAAGCAATCGCCTCTAGCCGCTTCATGGGCGCCGGGAACTTCTTGTAACTCTTCACAAACCTCCGAACCTGCACGAATAGTTAATTTGTTACGGACTCATGTTACGTTATGAATTAGGAAAGGAAACACAGAAACTTAGCTAAGAATAGAGCTACAGTTAAAGTTAACACTAAATTAACACGTTGGATGCAATGCTCTATCAGAGTGACACGAGTTGATTTAATCATGGGTACCATTATCTCCATCAAGTATGCTTCGAAAGGTTATGATTTTTCACCAATATTTTAATATCTTTGTCGATTATCTGCATTTAAATGTTGTACCATAGAAATAAATAGCTTGAAATAGTATTTTACTGCCCTGATAGCATTTTCAACACAAGGATTGAGTTGGGGAGAGATAATCAGAGAAGGCTGATATCTTAACAAATATCTTTGCATTTTACATTGCAATTTGTCCAAACAACAACGAAAACAGTAAAATTGTACCTCAGGCTCAGAAAATCCTTTGATCATCTCTTTATTTCTCTGTGGAGGTCTTCCTCTCTTTCTCGGCCGCTCTTCATCACTTCCTTCTTCACTTCCAGATTCTGAGTCAGTTCTCTTCTTTCTTTTCTTCCCTCTACCGCTGCCTTCACCTAAGAAAAAAAAGAGTTTTTTAACCAGGACCAAAACATTAGCAATTGAAAAATGATATATTCTTTGTAAAAACTACAAAGAGAGAGATTTGATTTGATTTAAACAGGAAATAACAAGTTATACATGGAAGTACAAGCAAAACAGTCCAAACAAGGAACAATAAGAAATCAGGGAACCATGAAAAATCTATAACTCATAAAATGAATGGGAACATATTTTCAAAGTTATAGAAGGGCAAGGAATAGTTTATTCTGTCTGTAAGGATGGGGAACACCATATCATGCTCTGAAGGTAGACCTTATGGTAAATAAATGTTTGAAGCCTTCTTAAATATCTACTAGCCTTAACTCAACAATTAGTTGTGACAGCCTCAGAATGGAAATACTTCATGAAACCTACCAAAAGCTAATATGAATACTTGGAAACATGGTTATTTGTACATCCTAGTACGGTTGTTAATTCAAATTACTGATATTAACTCGTCATGTAATTACCATCACTCTCGGACTGATTAATTTGCTGCAGTGTCTTGCGACTTCTGGGAGGTAAGTACAAGTCTTCCATTTCTTTGGCCTTCTCTTCTTCTTCCACCTTTGCCCGGTAGTTTTCTGGAATGATCTCGTCCTGAAAACACCAATCAACAATGTAGTACAATAAATTGAGTTTAGACCCTGGAATTGTATACAAAGTTTAAATAATTTAATTTTGGGGAAATAGCACTTTTCAGGGCATATTTAGCTAATTACAATTACTAATCTTGATTCTTTAATGAACTTTTAATAAAACTGAGTCAAAGATATGGTGTGCAGAGTGGTTTAAGGATAGTAGAATATTTTTACAGTTTTCAAGTTCTTAAACCTCTGTTGGTCGCAATGTATCATTTTGATACAAGCAACAACCTTTTCGGCCACCATTTTTTTTGGGTTACGGAATCCTAAAAATACTCTGCAAAAAGATTCATCAAAATCAAACCAATCCCAACCAAAATTGCTAATTCTCTTCTGCCCAAAGTTCATAAATGTTATCTCCAGTGTAGCCTCTCATGTTATCTCGTCATGAGAGAGTGTTCAAGAGATGGTAATGTAGGAGGACCGTATCAGTAGTCTGCTAACTCATAGCAGCCCACCTTCTTGTCCTCCAAAACGAAATAAACTTCATACAAACACATAGGTCGTCCAAAAAGTAACTGGCGTTTTAATGTAGCGCAGTAGTCATCTGACAACAAAGTGTTTCTACACAAAGTAGGCCTCTTCAATCGACTCTTAAAGAGTTTTATGTTTCGCGACCTTGTACTGTGTATTTTTTAGCTCCTTAACTCTTAATTTACTCAGGTAAAGAAACTTAGCCCCTTAAAAAAATACTTCTTGTAGGTTTTAGTTGCTTTGACCATTTTCAATATTTTAAATTGTCTGCTACACTCTAGACAGCTGTTGACTCACCCAGTCCCTTGTCTCTTCCTCCTGCTCCTGCTCACTCTGGGTGTCTTTGTCCTCCTCGAAGGCAGCGAAGGACGCGACCTTGAAGGCAGACAGCAGCTCATCCCCTGCAGTAGCTGGTGCGTCCTCGGCGGTTTCTGCCCGACGCAGAATCTCGTCAATGTCACACTGCGCGGACAGAAAACACAAGTGAGCAATGGTAAATGTTACATTTGCTTTTTCCTTTAACATTTATCAAAATTATTATTATTATTTATTATTAAGCTTTGAATTTAAATTAAAACTGAATCGTCATTGTAAGCAACTCGTCTACCCAAAGGAAAATATTTTTAAATGGTTGTAAGTCAAATTATAATAAAGTTAAAAACACATCATAAATTGATGGTACACTCAATTTATAAAAATGGAGACCTCTTAGACTTCTAATCTTATCTCGCATGGGTAGAATGTGGTCCCAATACTCCACATCTAGTGCTAGATTACTGCACCAACTGTCCATGTCAAGGCACCTGATGGGAACTAAAATAATGAAGCGTATGTAATAAAACTTGTTTAGGGAAGGTAAATAAATATATGTCTAATAACACTCTACATACGAAAATTAGAATATTTCACTGTCACAGACAACAGTTTCTTTTAGCTTTTTTAAACTTTTATTTTCTTCAAACCATCTTGCTTTTATTCAATTTTACATTGAGTAAATTAACTCTTAAAAATCCACACTTTCCAAAGGCGCCCAAACATTTCTCGTTTGAAAATGTTATCAGTGACAATAAAAAAACTAATTTGTGTGTAGCCTATAGTTTTTCTTGGCCCAGAGTCATTCAATTCCCATTTACATAAACCTGCTAGCCCCACAAAAATCTCTAATAAATTTAAAGTTGTCTATAACTCGTCTATCTATAGTTTCACTCACTGTTGGCTCTTCGTCAGCATTCTCTTCGTCTTTAAACAGTTCCTCAGCTCCAAACTTGAGTATAGCAGTCAACTCTTCCTTGTTGAAAGGTGTAGAGTTCGAGCCAGACTTCTTGTCTAGTACAGTCCGTCCTGTGGTGTCCATTCGCTGGATCACCAAGTGGTCCAAGACCATCTTCTTCTTTGCTCTTTCTACAATGTCCTCTTCTACGCTGGACTTGGTTACCAACCGGTAGATGTTCACCTGAACATAATGTATGAGTCGGTTAAAAGTTTGCAGTTAACATATCATAGTAAAGTGTTATGTTAATGTGTCTAGTACAGTTGTCTAGTACAGTCCGGACTCAAACTATCTGTCCAGACTTATCCGAAATAAGTCATCAGGAGGGGCTTTCTAACAGCAGATATCAACACGATTACAATTGTTTGTTTATTTCTGGCCTCATTATCAACAAATAAGACACAGGACTGGTTTTGAGGTGTTCAGATTACAGTAGACTCCCTCTTATCCGGACTCCTCGGTACCGAAGCCAGTCCGGATAACGGTTTTCCGGTTAAACCGACGTCCCCAAAAAACTTGTTAAATGGACCGTTTAAATGCATACTGTATACAGTATTTGACTTCAATTTAGGAGAGCATTGTATTTAGACACGTGATCACTGGTCACAAATCTTTCCCACAAGAACAGCCGTTTCAGTACCGCCCACTTCCTGCCGATCTAGTCCGGTTAAACCAATATGCTGATAAAAATTGTCCGGTTAAAGAGATTTCCGCCCAGTGCTATCCGGTTTAACCGGTAGTCCGGTTAAAAGGTGTCCGGATAAGAGAGAGTCTACTGTAGAAGGTATTGACTGTAGTAATAGAAAACATATTTTATGTCTGTATAGCACCGACATGTATAATGATTATCACAAAGTTACAGTAGACTCCCTCTCATACGGACTCCTCAGGACCGAGGCCAGTCCAGATAACAGTTTTTCCGGTTAAACCGACGTCCCCAAAAACTTGTTAAAATGGAGTGTTTAAATGCATACTGTATACATTATTTGACTTAAATTTGTATTTAGCAGTATTTATTTAGAGAGCATTGTATGTAGACGTTAATTTATACACATGATCACTAGTATCAAATCTTTCCCACAAGAACAGTCGTTTCGTCGTATAATAGCCTACCTGATTCTTCTGTCCTATCCTATGAGCCCGAGCCTGCGCTTGCAGATCATTCTGAGGGTTCCAGTCCGAGTCGAAGATGACCACCGTGTCCGCTGTTGCCAGATTGATACCCAAACCTCCCGCTCGGGTAGACAAGAGGAAGCAGAAGTCTGCAGAGTTCTCAGCGTTGAAGTGGTCTAGCGCTTGCTTCCGCAACTCTCCCTTAATACCGCCGTCTAGTCGCTGGAAGGGGAAGTGCCGCAGTTGTAAATATTCTGCCAGGATGTCCAGCATGCGCACCATCTGAGAGAATATCAACACTCTGTGTCCTGTCTCCTTGAGCCTCACCAGTAGCTTGTCTAACAGCACTAGTTTGCCTGACCCCTTCAGCAGCATCTGCCAACATAATGTCAAAGTTTGAAAAAAACACTTCTTTGAGGCAGCAAGACCTTGGTTGTGTATTTTAAGCTGAATATGAATACAGGGTGAGTGTAGAATGGATTGAGATGATTTGTACAGCTTTGTTATCAGCTGCCTCATGCGTCAGGATCATGAAAAGGCCCATTGATCAAGGATAGCTGAGTCCAGTTTTGAACTATCAAAAAGCTTCCAATTTTTCTCAGGATCGAACCAATGAACTTTTGATTACCAGGTGAGCACTATAACCACTCAGCTATCCAAATAATTAATGGTTCAAGGAATTGTATATGAGATAGTGAAGAATACACACTTACTTACCTAAGTAAAAAATTCATAGTTGAGGATTACTGTATAGTATTCAGCATGATATGATGAGCTTAAAAAAAAGATAATTAGGGATGGACGAGATTGGATTTTTAGTTCGAGACGAGACGAGACGAGATTTTTTATTTCTCATAAAATTTCGAGACGAGATCGAGACGGGATTTTCCTTCTCATACACAACGGGAAATGCACGTTCAAAATTTTTACCTGATTTTGTAACATTGTTAGATGACTGTTTAAATACAAAAATAATGATAATAGGCAAGAATATTTACAATCTTTTATTAAAAAACATCAGCATAACATTTTTTTATTAATCACGCCTAACTTATTAAAAATGCCTACGATTAGGAAACATAGTGATATCAGTTAGGATAGAGTTCAACTTATCCTAAAATAAAATAAATCATAAAATAAAAGCAATATTAATTTTTATAAAATAGTTACTTGTTTTGACTTTTTATAGTAATAAAACATTTCTCACACTGCTTACACTTTACAAAACTTCTCAAATGTTATTAAAGTAATATTATTAAAATAATTAAAGTAATATTTACATTTAAAGAATTAATGAAATAAGAACGACTTCACAAAGGAAACGCAACTACAACACGCTCCTGTATTGCGGGTATTGCATTGACTTTCTGCAGGCATTTTTAATTTTTTTTTTTTTTTTCCCGTCTCGGTAAAAATCTCGGCCAAAAAGAAATCTCGTCTCGTCTAACGAGATTTAAAATTTCCCGAAAATTTCCCGAAATTTCGAGACTTGACCATCCCTAAAGATAATTCAAAACCCTGCTGATCTTAGAAAGTAGCAAAGCTGCCATCTTATTCATTCAACACTCATCCTTTATTCATCTTTAAATTTAAGTATACATGGTGTGTCAGTGTCATCATCAATCTAATCATAAGGGATTAAAAATGTTCTCTACACAGTGACAGTAAATGGACGTTGGTAGTTACAAGTAATAAGGTAATCAATATTTCAACATTTTATTGTATACAGTTGTTTACTTATTTTTTCTTTAACATGAAGACCCTCTGTATGATTTGTTGTATTTACTAGTGATTCTGTAGCATATGTACTAAGTTCCCCACCTGGAGTTGATCGTCTGGAGGCAGTCGTCCCTCAAGTTCTACAGGTTTGGTGAGAGAAGAGTGATTGCAGCATTTCTTCAGCTCCATCACAATGTTGATGAAAGTAGCCGGAGACCCTCTGGTTCCTTTGCGCAGAGCGTTGTAGTTTTTCGTTAATATCCACTTGTAATATTGTTTCTGTATCGAGGTCATCTCGACACGAAGAATTTGTTCCACCTGGCACAAAACACACAAGACAAATAAAAAATGCTCTTTATCACAAGCTGATTCTTAGCCTTGTTGTTTATTCCATCCTAAGTAAGGTCTATTCCGGTTCCAGATGACATTTATTTGTCGTTATCAACCGAATGATGCTATCTAATGAAACAATGAGGTAACGATTATATAATAAGACCAGGATTTGGATTTTGGTCGTTCCACAACAAAAAACATAGGCCTAAAGTATACCAATAGTGTATAAATACACAAATAAATTTAAAAAAGCATACTATTAGACAAATATATATTAATTTTTAACAATTATATACAATTGACAAATTGTAAAATTATAAATTACCTTAGCGGGAAGTGATTTCTCCACATCTTTCTTCACCCTCCTCAAGATGAAAGGTTCCAGTTGTTTGTGCAGTTTGGCATAACCCTTTGTGGCAGCATGATCGTGCTCTCTTTCAAACTCCTCCCAGTTGTTGAATCTAAAGGAATCAGAAATGAGCATGTAAAAACCCCCTATAAATTAATAGTGCTGTGATGAAGAAAATGGAGTGCCCAGTCAAATGGCTAGATCGCAGTACTAGTTCTCAAAACTTCATTAAATAACTCTATTTTGACATGTTCTGGCAAATACACAAGAAGATTTATTACATCTATAATTAACTACTTATTATGTTCTCAGTCTGGTGTATTATACACATCTATAGTGTTGTACTACTCCCTTCTGGAGGAGCGAGTACAGCGCTGGACTTCAATCTCCGAGTTCCCAAGTTCAAATCTTTCCAATGACCAATGGCTATGGATGACCTGTGACCCTTAGGCCTAGCTTGAAAATAAGTGTTGAAGGATCCGGGCTAGAGCCAAGAGTCAGTTTTAAAGGTACAATATTCAAAAACCTACTTACTTCTGGGGCATGATGAAGTGCAGCAGTGCCCACAGCTCCTTGAGAGAGTTTTGCAGGGGAGTGCCTGTGATGAGCAGACGATGGTTGGTGTCAAACTCCTTGAGAGTCTTGTACAGCAGAGAGTCATCGTTCTTGAGCCGGTGAGCCTCGTCTACCATCAGCACGGCCCAGCCTAGACTGCCGAGGAAGGCTTTGTCCTTCAGCACAATCTCGTACGTAGTCAGCACCACGTTGAACTTGAGCCGCTTCGATGTGGCAAACATCCACTCGTGATCTCTGATCTGTACAACACAGTTACAATGTTGTTTTCATTGTTATATGATTGAGTTTTGGATATATAGATTTTATTTTACAGAATTTAGGTAGCAAACCTAAGAAAATTAGGGTCCCAGTGTCTAATAGATACACATCAAGATCACAAAACATGACACTGATATATCCTTGTAATATAAGACTTCTTCATAGAGAAGGTTCAAGAGAAATGTCAGTTTGTGGTTTTTGATTCTGAAGTAGACACTCCATCTACATTGTCCTGTGCGCTTAGTATTTCATAATATTCATTTTCTTTGTCCTTTCAGTTTTGATCATTTGCTTGGTCAATAAGTTAGTGTATTCAACAGATGTGAGTACATGATATTAGGGCACAAAAAATTGTTAAGGTAGGTATGTGACTACTTACAATATTACGAGATGAAACATCGCCCAGGTATGTGACTACGTTCAACTCAGGAGCCCAGAGACAAAACTCCCGTTGCCACGACGTCATTGTGGAGAGAGGAACAACAACAAGGAACGGTCCGTAAACCTGGTGTGTGTGGAACAGGTAATACAACGAACAGATTGTCTGGAACAAGAGTGACACAAGTTACTGATGTCCATACTTGGATACGCAAGTTACTTAGAGGAGTACAAAAATATATTTATTTTAAAACTCTGTTCTTAAAAGTCAAAATAGGCGGTTTTTATTTGAATTTTTTGTAGGCTATTCTAGTATTTCAAAGAGGATTTCAGATAGTAGGCTATAAAGGGTCTGCACAAAATAATTTTCTATGTTTTAAGGGTGTATTAAAATTTAAATTTTTGTCATATTACCACATTGAACTCCTGTAGCAGACAAGAGACTCAAAAGAGCTAGCTTAAATCTAGGATAGGGGTGGGAAAAGGCTGAATTACTGATGAAGGAAGGAACACAACATTTGACTCAGATCTGGACGAGCTTGCTTACAGCATGACTTCGATGGAGACCTTAATTTACAGAAAACCATCATGGATATAAATACAAATTAGATCTTAAGACATGGAGAAAATAGTCTCAAATTAAAAGGTAAATTTAAAATGTTTGGGTTTAGAAATGTTTGTACTTCCAGTGAATTAGTGAAAAACTAGAAACATATATTGCAGCTTTATATCATTGTTATTAGCTGTAATCGCTACTCCAAAAACAAAGAGATTATTCAGAATCAATAAAAAGGAAGATATGTATACATTTTTGTACAGAACTGGGAGAGAAGTCCTGACTGACCTGGATGGTTTTTCCAAGCCCCATCTCGTCTGCCAATATAACAGAATTTTCCTTACACCACGAGTGTACCAACCAGTTGAGTCCACTGATCTGGTAGTCTCTCAAGGTCAACACCTGAAACAAGTCTAACTTTAGCAAGAAGGATCATCTGATTGTATGTAGGCTCTAGAGATGTAATATAACTAACCGTTCCATTTATTGGCTAAATTAAACCAGATAAAATGTTTACATCCACTTTAGAATCACCCTTCTTTGTGACAAGTATGTCCCTATATATATCTCAGTGTGGAAGAAAGTCTATATACATTGATCCCTGTAACCTAAAGATAAAATAGAACAGTTACCAATACCAAAACAAATCTTTTGTTGTTTAATGGAAAAAGACTAAAGATTTAAATCTTTTTACAAAAATTACAATTAAGCCCACAACAATTTAAGCTCTAAAATAAGGCCAAAAAGAAAAGACTTGAAAGGTCTTAGGAGTTACAATGGATTAAAAAGACTTTAATATCACATTACATTGAAATATTTGAATACTTGCCTCATTTCCTCCCATGTATTCAGGCTGATCGTTGATTTTCACAAACTTAGGTCTGATTTTCAGAGCTTTTGTCATTTTTGATGGTGTGCGTTTTGAGTCTTCTCTGTCCCGAAATTCTTTGATTTTCTTCGGCCATTTTTTCTCTATGAGAGCTGCATCTTCCCAAGTAGCTTCTGAGTAAGGTAACGACTCCCATTTGATAAAATATTCTGCTTTGTCTTTTGATATGCCTGCATCAATAAAAAAATTTGATGATCTTAAAAAGAATGTTTAGTCAAATAACATGTACAATAATTTAGACATTATACTTTAGTTTTACATGAACACATTTAAAAAATTACACGAGGAAACTGCTGCCTCTTAAAGAAATAGTTCCCCTAACCAAAACAATTGATAGAAATTATTAAGCTGGGAAAAAGTTTAGGTAAAAATATATGTAAGGATGTTCTGCTTCTTATGCCACCACGATTCTTTCCCATTTCCTACCATTCCAACAACAATCTATACAACCAAGGCTCTTGTGTCCTTCATTATAATAAATCAACATCAACAGTTGTTAGTATTTTACCTATGATCCTCTCCACCCTGTTATAGCTAGTCAGCAAGTTCTGCTGCAACTCCAACTGACACTCGTAGTATTCTATATCTTCTGGAGTAGTCCGACTCTTCCAATACTCTATCTCTTCTTCCTTCCTTATGAAATTTTCCAGTTTCTTTATGCCTTTGGCCTGAAAAAATTACAATAATAATTCATCGTGTTCCAACTTACATCCAGGATTTGTATCAAGTAACAAAAATGTTCTGTAGGAAATCATTTAACTATGTTCTCTTTTAAAGTATTGGCTACAGCTAATGCATATAGGTAGTCTATTACCTTCTGATCCTTGAGAGATTGTTCAGATTCCCATGTGTTGTGTATGTGAGACCACCCCTTCCACTTGATGAGGTATTGCAGCTCTGTAGTCTCTAAATCTTCAGGGTCGCAGCCTATGTTTGGATCACCATTCTCTTCCACAGCGTACACTGTTGTGATGTTCCCCACCACTGAAATGGCACATTTCAGTGATTATTAAAATAGAAAATTGATTTTGTATAGACTTTTTATTTACACCAAATATCCTCTAATCCAAAACTAATTGGAACTCTTTTCAGATTATGAAATTGTTTGGATTAGCTGGAATTGATGTAAAATTGCATAAAAATATGATTTTATGTTAGTAAATGGGCATATTATTCCCCTGCTATCACAGCAACACCTTGGATCGTATCCCACAATTTGGGGAATCTGTGATTGTCTTATATGGCCACAGAAATATCAGTGATAATCAACTTTGATTGTGGCAAGACCCACGATCATCTCCCAAGATCTAGTTCTACTTATTACACAATGGCCTTAAATTAAAGAGAACCTACAAAAAGCCAGTTATAAATGGACAATCAGCCATATGTTATTGATAATTTCCCCGAATCATACTAAATGCATGCACAATTTACATATGTTTCTTAGTTGGCTGAACACCCTGGTTTAATATATCAGGTGGTTCTGATGGGACACATTTTAGGATTTGCGGGATTCTGGTCTGTGTTAAAAGGATAGCTACAGTAACTCAAATATATTTTTTGGAATGGTCTTATGCTAAAAATGTTCTATCAATATGACAGCACATCAAAATTATAGAATTTCCATGCGATTATGAAAGATTTTCATTGTTACCTATTACTTTCCTTTCCCTGGCTTATATACAAGATTGGTGGCTCATTACTTGCGTACCTCCTTTCTTGCCCCGTCTCCTGGCCAGGACCCTCTCGATGGTCTCAGCGTTGTCCACTACTGCAGGATCAGGTTCCGTATACTCCACGTCTACAAGGTCATCGGAGTCAGTCTTCTCTTCACTGTCCTCCTTATAGCTAACAGCTGTCGTGGCTGCACCTCTCCTGCCCTTGGACCTACAAAATCCAACAAATAGTCCAGAACTGAGGTTAAGCGAGAGTTGATGACTCAGTCGGTTGAGTCTGCAGTTCAGTAAGTAGCGATGGACTTTATTAGCTTATATTAATAATTATTATGTTTAACACAATATTCCTGCCCTTAGGCTTATTTATAAAATGCCATATGTGTTATATCATTTTATAGCTTAACAGATTTTTTTTATACTGTTTGACAGTTTTTATAAGGACGTATGACAAATATTTCTTAAGCAAGTTGTTTGTGGCGCCTTTGTTATTGATTTTTTCCAAATTTTTTATTTGAGTTGAATTAACATAAACTTATGTATTTTAATGGATTCTTCTTATAAACCATCTATCACCCTGTATACTGACCTTTTAGACTTGTCATCGTCAGATGAGTAGTTGGATTCTTCCGAGGATGAGTATCTCCTCTTGGGTTGACTACGCTTTGGCGGTGACCTTTTGGGAGGAGGCCGCGCCACTCTCCTACTTGGAGGCTTGCTGCGAGGTACATCCTTGTCCGTAGAACTGTCATAGTCTGTCTCTGAATCTGAGTTCCATGTCCTGGGAACATCAACAGTTAGTAATACTAGGTCTCAGGTACTCCAATTGATCAGAGCGAAGTTGTAACTAAATAGATTGTTGTAATTTCCATTTACATTTATAATTATTATCTGTTATGTTTATGACCTGGGGCAGTGGCGTCGTCCTGTAATCCAGCTACTTGGTGGTCACGAATTGTGGATATTTATAGACATGCACTGGATGCAATACTTTTTAGGATTCTGGGATTTCAATGTGCTCCGCTCAACTAGAGGTAATGTTATTGTCAATGTTCGCACTTAGCTATACAATATCATGGTCACCTTGGTGACCGAAACCCGTAGTTCTAACACTAGATGGGCTCGCTATCCATGGTCACCGTCTTCGATGGAAAACTGTATCAAATTCAAAGTGACCAGGGCTGACATTGTTTCACTCAAAGTCCATGATATTGTAAAACTCTTTGTATTGATAAAGTTTTGTGAAATGTTCTAGGCTGTGGTTAAAAATACAACAAGAAAGAGAACAGCAAAAGCAAGACAGAGATTGTTTGAACTAGAGGAAGAATATGAGAAAAGAGAAATTCTTAGAAAAATGAAGTTGATTGTAACAAAGAGAATGAGACCGGAAGTATGACTTGTTTGGATGAAGAGGAGGAAGATGGCAGATAATGGAAGAAGAGGCAATGTGGAGAGATAGGAGAAAATGAAACAGGACAGGCTTCCTGAGCAACAGCTTTATAGATGGCAAATATTGTTCTTACTTGTTAGGAGACTTCTTGTTGGTAGAAGACCTGCGACCGCCACGTCCTCTGTCGCTAGTGTTGGAGTCACTCTCAGCGACCTTGAGACGTTCAGGTTCCTTGCGACTGCGACCCGACCTCCTGATCCCATACACATCTGGGTTCTCATCCCAGGCCTGCTATTAGGCAAAAGATATTGAGTAGGATTTGTTTTATAAATCTAGATCTTGTGTTAGCTCAATCAATTTCTACCAGTTTTCTTAGATAGCAAATGTGAGACTTAAGTAAAAAAGTCAACTTAAAGACCTTTTGTCATAATCAACTGTAGTAGCCTATGCATAGTTGATGTGTTCCTAATATAAAAAACTTCTTTGTGTTCAGAAACCAGGAATTGACCTTAAGTATGTTACAAGAGTATTAAACACTAGCCCTAACTATTTTTTTTTTTATTTTTACTAAAAATACATTGTTACTAAAAAACTATATAACTTACAGTGTATTGCACATTTCCATTGCTAACTTTTATTTTTGGAGGATGACAAAAGTAAAACTGTTATTATTCTGGAACCTAAGCCTTGTTAAAACCTAGCCTTGTTACTATCTAACGTTGAACTTTTGTTAGATAGCATGATAAATTAATAATACTACCACAAAAAGCATCTGAATCCAGAATTTATCTTGCTTGGAATAGAACCGGCAACCTGTATGTTTGAATGCAAGCACTACAACCAAGATGTCTAAAAAACTAGAAAAAGGTATCCCCATTATCCACCCTTTAGAAAAACACTAAGAAACAGTTATCAGTTGAGTATGTTTAAAGAAGAATTGTAAAAAACAGCTAAAAAATTGATTTGAGGAATGTCAGTAGAAAAAGACAACATTTTTCTCTTTAGTCAGATGTTTGTAAGACTAATTAATGTTGACAAAGAGAATTTTACCTTTTCATGTCTCTTGTGTGACTTAGAAGGACTAGAGTTAGTAGTTGTTGATTTGCTGTCCGATTCACTTCCGCTTCCACTCTTAGACGAACCTTCCGAGTCCGAACCAGAGCCAGACTCACTGAATCAATCAAATTTTGTTAACTCCATGGACGAAATAGTAGGGAGGAGGAATCAGATAGGCAATCGTTATGTATTAGCATTGACCTTTGGATAATGAGTAGACGTCTCATTACATATGGACCAGCAGCTGTAGCCTATCTTTTATTTAAATAGAACATACAGTAATAGAATAAGCCACTTATAGAGCGTGCTTCTATCAGAATTACATTTTATCCTTTTTTGTTTTGTATAGTAGGCCTACCTTGTAGAATATGAAGTAAAAGAGGTAATGGTTTACAGTAAGTTGGCTTAGTTTACAAGTTACTGTATTCACTATAAATAAGTAAAATTAACATCATCAAAGGGGTCAGGGGCTTGATTCAACTAAGGTTTATGCAATACTACAACTTCAATTTAAGGGAATGGGATCTCTACTTATATCAAGTCAAAGGCATAATCTTAAGTTTTGTCCAAAAGTTGAGAGGCCATACACAGAAAAGTCCTAAAAGGCCTAAAACTTAATTGACAACATTGTAGATAGCCTGTAAACTTATAGAAATCTACCACTTATAAAACATAAGTAGATTAAAATAATCGGTAGCCTATGGACAGTTTTTAAATGATACTTAAAGGTTAGGCCTAGTTTGGTTACAGGAAGGGCTCTAAGCCAAGATTGTGATTTATAGAATAGCAGCTGGCTTATTGAAGAAAAGTTTCAGGCAGGCACTACGGCAATAGTACATAAGCCTGAGTAATTTAAACTGAGTAATTTAATTTGAGCAATACAATTTGACAAATTGTTTATTTACTCTGCTTGGTTTCAAAGGTACATCCTTGCCCAGGAATTTGTTGGGCACTGCTCAGAGCAATCAAGTGGAATTCTTTAATATTTTTAGATCGTATAGAAACTAATCAATCAATCAATCAACTTCTTTATTTCATAAAATGCACAGATTGGTACATGAAATTGTGTCAACATAAGTTTTCTTATCTAGATCGCTAAAACTAGGGGTTTTACAGGGGTAAATAATCTAATCTAATCCAATTGATCTTTACCTTCCAGATCCAGATCCTGATGAAGACCCTTTGCTCTTTTTCGACCCAGCTTCACTTTTGACACTTTCAGGTTCGCTTTTGACACTCTCAGGTTCACTCTTTACACTTTCAGGTTCACTTTTGACACTTCCCGCTTCACTCTTGACTGATTCCGCATCACTTTTGTCTGATTCCGCATCACTCTTTCCTGAGTCTCCACTTTTAGACTCGTCTTCTTCCTTGTCCGACGCTGCGTTCCTGTCCGATCCAGACTCGTCCTCTGACCCCTCCTAAAGGTCAACAAGTACACTTTTAATTGTAATACTGATATTTTTGTGTTTCATTTTGTACTTCTTATGTTATTGAAATTTTAATTATTAAGAAACCAAAGAAAATAGTTAAGGACAATTTTTAATTTTGAAAGGTTGAACTCACAAGGTTTAAGTTTGACTTTCAAAATTAAAGACTTTTAAAATTATACGGCAAGTTACAGAACGACTAAGAAAAAAGGAGGGCCAGGGCTTATTAAAGAAAAAGAACAGAATGATAGACTGTAATAACAATGGATAATACCAAAATAAAATTTATCAAGGTTTTGAAATCCCTATCAAAAAGAAGCAAAGGAAACACCAAATCAACATACAATTTTAATTCAAAGTGCTCTGAAACTTATTTTTGGGCATTCAGGTGTCGGATTTTTTTAAATGTATTACTATCTTGAACCTTGGGTACTAAAGCAACACATTTTGAATGTTAAAAATAATGTAGGTGCAAAAATATCTGCTCAATGCTAAAAAGATTGATATGAATAAAAACTGTACACTGTTCAATGATGTTTGTTTCGATTTGGTTTTCTTTCTTTTTGTTTGACTGTATTTCTATGGGCTGACAATTGTTACAGGACACTGAGCTAATGTTCAACAACTATGTAATAGGTAATCTTCCAACGGACGAATCATGATGTATTTCATGCATTAGGCTCTCAAAGCTCACAAAGCTTAGCTACGGTACTTATTTTAATTCAGCATTTTTTCACACATAATCACAAATAAATAAATTTGAATTTGAATTTGAATTTGAATTCCCACTTGTCAGCACTCGTTAATTCAGCATTTTTGCCCACTTGTTCATTGCCAGGAATACCTTTGTGTCCTGGAACCCAACTAAGGATAACCTTGTTATTCTCTCCCAGAGCTATCGGTCTGATGACAGTCCCATACTGCCTTAGCCCAACAAAAACAAGCAAGTCTGGAAAACTGTGCGTTCAGTCAAAGGATGGAATAACCTGTGTATAGTTGTTTTGGTTTTTAAAAATCCATCGAATATAAGATTTGCAGACCAATTATACACAAATGTAAGTCATTACAAGAAATAATCTGTTGAAATTTTAAAATATTTATGATTAACTGACCTAGTTTAACAGCATCGATTACTGCAATTCCAGTGTTGTGCATAGTCATCTTGTTTATGGTAATATGACCTAACATGTGGTGAGCTATTGCAACGCTAGGCTACCTAAAGTGAGCTCAATCATGTACTAAGAAACTTGATAATCTTATAATTTAGACCTACAGTTAGCCTATATTGACCAGTGAGAGCTCTTCCACTAGTACTTTTCTGCTTGTTTTTTAACTCTTACTAGGTAGTCATATTACATTCAACCATTGAGAGTTTTCGATACTGGTCAACATTGCTATATCCAATTTGTATTTAAATAAAGTTTAATTATCCTTTAACAGTATAGGTTATGAGTCCTTGATGGTTAGCGGCCATCGGGGATAACTTTAAACAGCTGCTGAAGAGTTATAAATCCAAAAATAATTTTTAAACACCAAAGTGGTTACAGGCCTAATTTAAATATCTAGTATAGGCCTACTAACTGTGAGATTAGAAATATTCTTTGTAGTTTTGAATTGTTCTCCATGGGAGTCCATGGAAGCTAACGGCCATCTTGGGTGTGCCCGGCATAAGAGCAATGATAATTTCTTTAATTTCAAACAGCCGCCAGTTCCTGGGGTCCCGGGTTCAAATCCCGCCAAATAACCAATGGATTTTATCTAAGTGATGATGCCGTAACCCCTAGGTCTAGCCTGAAGTAATGTGAAAAACAATTCCGGGCTCGTGCCTAGCGTCCTAGGAAAAAAAAAGGACTCTTAAACGCTAGTGTAACAATTCCATTTTCTCCAAAGTTTGAATACTGTAAGCCTGTGATATTTTTTGTGACATAAAAAGATGATTTAGTTTACAATAAGGGCATCCCTTTCCTGAAACTGATTTGGTTCAATGTAGGCCTTCTTACAAATTCATGGCCGGATAACTATGATGATGGTGCACCTTATGACAAATACCAAATTCTTCTTGGTTTCCCAAGCAGTATGTAATGTTGTAAGACCTATTGTACTTTGCCGTGAAATTTGTTTTTCAAACCTGTCATGTGCATCAATGGCTGAACATGCAAGTTCAAAAGCATTTAATATGCGATACTGAGAACAAAGATGTCTTCATGCTTTGCCACAGGAACGACTCAATGTAGACAATCCCAACAATTAGACTGACCTGCCTCGATTTTTAACTCTAGTTTTAGTAGGAGACAAACTATATTGGAAGAAGAGGTGTTTTTAATAATAACTATGCGAATACCTGTCCTCCATGGAAACATATACCTACCACACCTAAAATACTCCTGTTATTGTGTCTCCTGTTCATGTTTCTATAGTACTTTATTATTTTAATACTTTATTATGAAAGGTCTTTTGTGGAAATTTTATCTTTCGAATTTTAAGTTTTTAGGTGTTAATGCCAATGGTAGTTTATGTGAAGGAGAACCGATGCTTTTAAGGGAAGTGGCACAAACCCTTCAGATGTAGCCTAAGTTTAGAAAAACTTAAGGTGATAATTTCTTAGATTATCAATTTGAAGCTTGATTGAACAATCTTATCATAAATTTAAAGGTTAGTCATTAGGCTCAGTCTAATGAGAGAAAACTTTTAATTTCAACAAACTTTGGATCGTTGATAGCATTTAAAAATTAAATCAACAACAAAATGATAATGTTATCTCAAAACTTAGGTATTTTATCACTGCAGTGTTTCTTATCATCATTCCTTTTCACTCTTCACTCTAAAAGGTCAGCTCAAGGTTATGGCTTAATTATGTGTCAGTTTTAACTTACCATTAACTTCAATTGCAGACAAAATTCAATAATAACAAATATCACATGAATAAAAAGTAAAGTAAAAAAAGTAATTCAACACAATTATCTTACTTGATTACTGCATCTTTGACCATTAATTCAGGATTTGATAATCTTTTAAATTACGGTGGAACCACAGTTTCACAATTTTAGAGGGCCTAAGAAATATATTTCTTTGTATTTCTTGTATTAGGCCTGTATCATGTAGGCTACATAAATTTACATCTAAAAATAAATCAGGAAATCTCATCATCCATTTATGTGTGATTAGAATTCAATCATTCAAACACACCGTCAATCTGGCAACTGTACTCACTGTGGAAATACGGTTGAGCACAAGCTGCTCACAGTTTGATCTTTTATCCTTAATCTTCCCAGAACCTGTTTTCTTAATCAATAGAATATAATTGGTTGCCCACAAGTTATATATTAACATTACATTTCATCTATCCATGATACGACATTATGCCAGGGGTCAATTGTAGGCTACTTTGTGGACATACAACCAGTTTCATGACTCTTTTTGTGTATATCTAGCACCATGACATTTTTTAAGTTTTTTGTAAGGGGACGTTCTAAACCTTGATATTGTAACCATCTAACGTCTACTTTAATTAGGTACCATAGTATCTTTGACTTTGATAGTATCTTTCATCCGAGTCCAATTGCGATCTTGCTTGAGTTAAACCATGGACCTTCAGATATGAAGGCGAGCACTACAATGACTCCATGTTGACTGATTTCACAAAAATTGCTCGCTATGAATAATGAATACAAACATTTACTGCAGTTGTGGATAACACATTTCAATAATTCTTAAACCTCTGCATTGGAATGTGGCATAGAACTGATTCACAAAGTTTTATGCAAGAGAATTGAATTGGTTTTTATTTCAATAAGATTTACTCCAACCAATAATACCTCTTTGATTTTTAGTATGGCGGTATATGAATTCTCTCAACAGACTTGGTTCACATATTTAGATTATCAAAACAAGTTGTGTATTAAATAACTTAAACATTACAACCAGGCATTATACGTGAAATGTAACCTTTATATCAGGGCTATTTGACTGACACTTCTGATCAATCAAGAAATAAATATACTGTAATTTTAATAACTAAAATAATCTTTTTTACCAACTTGGCAAAACTATATTATAGTAAGGTCAACTTGAACAAAAGTGGGAAATGGAAATGTAAGGTATCTCTCACTTGGATTTTAATAATAGGTAGTTCAAGATATCTAAAGAATGCAGAATTTGACACACCTTTAAAAGGGGTTTCACTAATGTGAAAATAAAAATGGTAAAAAACAAATTTGAATTAAATACCCTTTATAACTAAATGCATGACCAAGCAGCATGCTATACAGTCACATAGAAGAAAATAAAAAAAATGTTATTGTTATTACCAAATTTAATTGGCAAGTTGGGTGTGATTTGATATGGATTGAGCCTGTACTTTAGTTCTTAGGTACTAAATTATTTCCACTATTTTGATTATTGTTGATTCAAATTGTTGTTATAGTCCGTCCGTTTGGCTATGATACCCAGCGGATTAGGAACCTTCTCGGAACTCGACTCACCCTTCAGACCCGCTCTCCAGGCTGGCCGTTGATAAAAAGTTTACCTACCTACAGTCACAGTCCCACAGATATGTAACTTTTATTATTTTCCTAAATTGTTATTTGAGTTCTACATTTAATTCCAAAAATAATGTCCAAACACAACGTGGATACTTAATATCTACAATCTGAAAGTTTTAACATAAGCTGATGGTGATGATACAGTGTAATTGTAATACTATCAGATCGTAGATATAAGGTATCCACATCGTGTTTGGGCTCATTATTTTTGGAATTTCTAGAACTCAAATTTATAAAGCACAATTTATTTTAACTTAAAACAAAAAAAGTTACAGATCTGTGGGACTGAGCCAGCGGGTGAGTCATCGTTTATCTCCGGCCAGCCCGAAGAGTGGGTTGAGAGGGTGAGTTGAGTTCCGAGAAGGTTTCTAATCCTCTGGGTATCATAGCCAAACGGACGGACTATAGTTATTATTCTTATATCAACGAAGACTTCTGTCGGATTTATTG